GGTGGTGATGTGTTTACATGGGAGGGGTGTATAAGTGCTATGTGTGTTGGTGTGGTGGTGTGTTAGTGCGGTGGTGGTGTGGTGCGGTGGTGGTGTGATGGTAATGTGTTGCTGTGGTGGTGGTGTGGTGGTTTTATATGTGGTGTTCGTGCTATATATATGGGAGTGGTGTTGGTGGTGTGTTGATGGTGTGGTGGTTGGGTACTATGTGTGGTGGTGTGTAGGTGTTATTTGTGATGTTGTGTTGGTGTGGTGGTGTTGATGTAGTGGTGGTGTTGTGTATGTGCTATGTGTGGTGGTGTGTAGGTGTTATGTGTGGTGTTGGTGGTGTGTAGGTACTATGTATATGGGAGTGGTGTTGTTGGTGTATTGATTTCAGATGTTTTGTTTTTGTTACTGTTTCATATTTTGAGATTTTAAATGACACTTTATATTTTCATGATATTACCTTATATTATGTGTCACACATTTATGTTGATTAGTTATTTTCATTCTAATAGTTGTCATGGTAAAGACAAAAGAAATCGACTCATTAGCCATGTGGAATAAAGTGATGAAAATGATATTGTGCAATCTTTATCTTAAAGTGATGAAATTAGAAAACAGAGCAACAATTTACTTTAACAAAGAAGGATAATAAAATATAATAAAAATGTTCAAGGAAAGCACAAAAAAATGATAGAATGTAATTAAGAAAAAAAATTGGGATCAGTTGAAAAATGACTGTAAATATGGAAAGAGTTAGAGCAGGGATCCATGACTTGGGTTGGGATTCAGTAAAGTGAACCATTGATATGTCAGAGGAATGGTGGGCCGAGGGATTAAAGGAGAGAATTTAATGGTTGTATATCACCTTAACATGTGTTCCGCTTTTTTTACTTTCAAGAATAGAAAGGTAGTGCACACGACAATCACATATTCAAATTTGTCACCCAAACTCAGAAATACAACTTTTCATAGCCACCCTCAGGTTTGCTTGAATATGAACAAATGAAATGTACTCTTTGTGCAATACTAATTATTCTAATTATATTAGAGAAATATTATTTGGTCGATGTTGGATATACTTTACAAAGAGGGTTTCTCAAATCATTTCATGATATCAAATGTCACATTCATGATTTTGAAAAAGCTAGCAACGTTGTTTGGGGTAGGAAATAGACGTTTAATAAGAGGCACTCAGCCTTACGTGGTGTTATCAAAAGAACATTTGGAATTTGAAAAAAAATGAATTATTTTTCAAGATATGCCCACATATTTGTTTGGCAAAAAGTGTAGAATGTGGTTGCTACAATGACTCTCCACAAATACATTTGATGACATTCTTCACGTAGTGACATTGCTTCAATATAGCAGATGAAGATCATTCACATGTTTTTGTTGAAATGTATAAATATCGTCTAAGGCAATCAATATCACATATTGAAAGTAATTTGCCTGAGTCTTGTACCCTAGATGGGCAAGGTGATGGGGAGATGATGGAATTGAGAGAGTAAATTATAGATGTAATAGTTAGCAAGTGAAAGGATGTTGTATGTTTTTTTATTACTTTATATGCAATGTGTTGTAAGAATACTTAGTGTTTATTGTATTGATGATTTATGCAATGACATACATGATGAATCTCATTTTGGTGCAACTTTTATTTTCAGTTCTTTTGCATGTATTTTTTCCCATATTGATGGCCACCGAGGCAACCATAGGTACAATACTTTATGTATTTATTTATTGCATGTTTTATTTTTATTTTGGAGGTATATGATGTGATATTTTAACTTATGGGTTTTCTGGATGACCTATATATTGTTATGGGTTATTGACACATATGAAATTGCTATCAAGGCAACCAAGTACCCCTCCTTTTTCATTTGTATGCTAGTTGAGATTTTTCTAGATGGTCTTTGGGGTGATAAGCATCCACGACACATACAATCTCGACATTACATGATTCAAGGCAACCAAGAACCTTTTTTTTAAAGGTCTACTGTCTTCTTTTAGTGACAAATTATTCGTTAGTTTATAGTTTCTGCTTTGAGATCTCACAACTTTATAAAACTTTAATTGAGTATGTTTATTATTCTTCTTTACTAATGTTGCATCTAAAGGTCTTTGCTTTGTGATTTTAAACCTTCAGAAAAGATGAGCTCGAGAACTTCTAATGACTCTAGGGCATTGTACAACTACTGTAGACTGCAGTGCTGTCTGGTTACCTCTCGACATCAACATAGCTATGGAAGACCATTTTAAAAGTATTCAAAGAATAAAACATAGAATTGTAACTTTTTTCAGGAGGGCAGATCAGCTCGATGATTTTACCCCATATTGTGATTATGTGTGGAGACTTTCGTTGAAGGATGGATTATCTCGTGATATTAATCGTCTGCATTTTAAAAACACTATTATGATAAATTTAATTGTTATTTTAATAATTTTATTTTTAATTTTGATTGTTGTGTTAATCACTGTTTAATAATGTGTCAGTGTTTATTGTGTAATATTCAAATTGGATATTTATTCTCATGAATGAAATGTACAACTAAAACTGATTCTATTATAAACATCACAATGCTACAGAGGAAGAAATGTCATTGTTTATAAACAATTACAACACAACTATTGCAAAACTATATAAAATAAATAAACACAACTTTCCCACAGCAGTTTTTATGTAGCTGCTTCCTGGCACAACTGTTGCACAACAAATTTTTAATAAATTGCAGCTGTCCAAACAAACCCTAATAATAGTTTTCTTGTCAATGAAATTTTATATGAATTCCCTTGTATAATAGATTTGGGAATTTATTTTGTGACAAACTATATATCTGGAAGCTTTTTGAAATTGTCTCCCATGGTTAAACTAAAGATCAAATCAAATCAATCATATAGCTACATAGAAGTTTATCAGCTGGGGCAAATGCATGAAATTAGTTTTTGCTTTTATTATAAGGGAATGCCCCTTAATCATTATATTTTTGTTCAAGGCACTCTTGTGGAGGGCACTGCACAAGATTTACATGCATACCACTTAATTATTATGTATTTAAAGATATACCATCAAAACTTAAATTTTTACATATATCACTTTACCTATGGACGAAAAAGAGTATAAAATAAAGCCTTCGACGTTGGTGCAAAAGAGTAGGCTCCAGTTTGCATTCCCCAAATTAAATCATAATTTTATTGGCTTTGCATATTTTGGTTGCTTCCTTATCCACTTTCAAAGGTTTGATGCCTTGGTCTACCAAGGTTACAGCTGAGGGGTTCGGATTTGGCATTCCACAAGCAGTTGGAGTGCATGTATTGCCACCAACATTGCTAGGAGATGTTAATCCCTACAGAAAAATCACATTATGTACCTAGATGCTGGTCCACACACGATCAGATAACCGGCCACCCACTGTTCCTCCACCATCCCCACCCTTCTCCTCCCCCTTCCCATTTCTCTTCCCCTCTCGTCACCAAGGCCCTCAATTACTGTAATTTTTTGCTAATCTTTGCCGTGTGAGTCGGAGTTCCTATACTTAGAAACAGTTGAGCTATGAATTTTGAGAAGCTGTAAATCTTCAGTTGTTTGCTTGTTTTTGTATGATTTGATATTGTAATTTTCAAAGAATTCTTATGGCCACATATTTAAAACACCAAATCGAAATTTTTCTCTGTTTTTCTTTAATTCCAGAATTTACAAGAAGTACAAGGGCTACCTTCCTAAATGGCTTCGGGTAGAAGCGTTGCTGAAGCAAAAAAGAAGGATGTTTCAGAGATATTTGTATGCTGTGTCCCCGTCCGTGTCTTTCCCAGCTAGCATTTGTCGCGACTGCATCGTGATGGATTCGTTGACGAGAGGATGAAGCAAAAATGAAGAGGATGGTCGCACGAGAAGCTAGGCTGCGATCCCGTCTGTATAAACCGCGATAATCGTTACCTTTGCCAACGAGGTCCAGCGGAGCGGATGAGGAGAAAGATGGGAGTTTCAGAGGTCTATAGCTCGAGCAGAGCGAAGGAGGAGAAAGATGAGAGTTTAAGAGATCTGGATCAAGCCGTCACCTTCCCAACTCTCTCTAAAATCGCTGAGAATTTCCTTTCCCGCGCACGAATTGGCGTAGGCAAACGTTAGGAGGAGGCGAAGTTCCATTTCAGGAGAATGAGAAACTTTACTATTCCATCCAGGCAATATTAAATTTCGGGTTTCATATATAATTTTCAAGATTTGGGCTGTCAAAAAAACTCGTTGTTCGTGAACAGCTCGTGTTGAGCTCGTATAAACGAGCCGAAAAGCTCGAATTATAAACAAGCTAAACACGAATAACTCTTTGTTCTCGCTCGTGTTCGGCTTGTTTTAGCACGAAATAAAAACATTATATAAGTTTAAATTACATATATTATTTATATAATAATATATTATATATATTTATGTCTAAGTTTAAATCATAACACCTCATGTGACAATGTGGTTAGTGTCTTTTTTTGTATATATTTGATTCAGATTCGAATCTCGCACTTTACATCTATGTTTCTCAATATAAGTTTAACGAGCCAATTTCGAGTCGAACACGAATATGAATATTTAAATCGAGTCGAACAAGAACACACTGTTCACGAGCAGATTTCGAACACGAGCTATTTTGAACGAACCGAACACGAGCCTAGCCTGAGCTCGCTCAAACTCGGCTCGTTCATAACCCCATGTTCCTCGCTTCATATATGTAAAAATCTCAAAAAAATAAAAAAGAGAAAAAAAATCGTTCCACCAAAATTTATTTTAATTCTAGAGAAACTTCATCTGACCGACAAACTTAATTATTACCAAGGTACCGATTAATGCACCAAAGCATCTTTTTTTCTCGACTAAAGAAAGAGGAGCGGCCCTACCGACCTTACAGGTCGAGCTTCTGGCCCCAACAAACACCTGCTACATGCAAGAGCGATGGTTGACTCAAGAAACTGCACCATTGCCAATAAAAAAAATAAAAAAAATAAAAAAAACTCAGAAACTCATTAAACTATTTGTCAGGAATTGTGGATGAGCTGCCAGCATTACCCCCAACAACTTCCCGGCCCAGAGCCACCGCCACTCACAAGATGCGCGTTTATTTTAAAAACCGGAGAGGCTCGGGATCCATCACAGTTCTTCATTTTTCATACAATTTCAAACAATCGAAACAGAGCAAGCAACAGATGAGCATAAATAATGATTTTTAATAAAGACCGATCTCCACACATCCGCAACATCATCTCCCTCCCACGAAAACCTTATTACAACATACCTCTGTAAATAATATAAAAGCAGATTTAACAACAAAACATCTCTACGCTTCACGGCTCTTCCACCTTTTGGCCACTTCATCAAGCGCCTTATAAGACGACCCTCCTTCTCCCAAAGCCACCGCCACCTCCTCCTTCAATTCCTTCACCCTATTCCTTAAACCCTTTCCCTCCTCCCCTTCCATCAACTCCTTCACCACCCTCGCAATCTCCTCCCTATGAATCAACTCATCCTCCCCTTTATTCGGCCTAATAGCAATTTTCACTCCCTCAACTAACATCACAGCATTCATTGACTGTTCAGCGAACAATGGCCAAGCAATCATGGGCACGCCGTGCGTCACGCTCTCCAGCGTCGAGTTCCATCCACAGTGCGATAAAAACCCACCCGTTGCAGGGTGCGCGAGAACCTCAATCTGCGGCGCCCATGATGGCACAACAAATCCAACGCCTTGCGTGCGTTCCAAAAACCCCTCGGGTAAGTAAAACAGAGGGTTTTCTTTCGTGTGCGCGGTAAAGTAAGTGGACGAAGAATCCACATCGCAGGGGCTTCGCACGACAAGCAGGAATCTTTGCTTGCTGGCTTCAAGCCCCATTGCAAGCTCCCCAAGCTGCTTCCTTGTTAGAGTCCCTCCGCTTCCAAAAGACACGAAAAGAACCGACCCCTGCGGCTGCTCGTCAAGCCAGTTCAAGCATGGGGAAGACCCGCCAGCAGAACTAGCCTTTATCATCGGCCCCACCGGGTAAACCGGCGGCCGCTCCCCCCCCCTCTCACCCAAGAAAGCCTCAATCGCAGAGAAGCTATTCACTAAAATCCCTTGAGCATGCCGATAGAGCGCGGAATGGTGAAGCATCCATTTGTAGGCGTCGTTTGAACGATCTCTTAAAGGAGTGAGGATCTCTGGTCCTGGAATCGGAATGCAGCCTGGAAGTTTTATTGGTTCTTTGAGATCCTGATAAGGGCAGTTGACGGCGGCGTTGAGAGCAGGGAGCTCGAGCATGAGTGTGAGGAACTGGAGGTTGGTGGGGATGAACATGTAGTACAGGATACCCAGATCGCGGGCTATTTCGAAGCCATCTGTGGCGAAGAAGTCGGCAAGGAAGGCGACGAGATTGGTGGAACGTTGGAGTTCGACCAAGATGGAGCGGAGGGCGGGGAGTGAGCGGATGGAGACGATGGACATTCGGGTTTCTATTCTGGCGTCGGGAGGAAGGTCGTCGAGGGGAACGGAGGGGAGGGAGATGGAGGTGATGCTGGAGGGCAGGGTGTTGAGGAAGTTTTGAGTGGCTTTGTTGTCAGAGGCGGCGAAGGTGATGAAAGTTACACTGAAGTTATAGCGTTGGACGAGGAGTTTGGCCAGTTCTGCGAGGGGGAAGAGATGACCCATTCCGGGAGTTGGGAGGACGGCGAGATGAGGTCGGTGGGATCCGGTGGCTTCCATGGCTAGAAGCTAATGAGTAATTTGATAGCTTGGGCTCTTGGCAGGGAGTTCTATTCAGAGCAGAGGGATAGCCTACTGTGGGAAGCTCGAACAGGAAGGGGCTGCTTATATCTGTAATTTGTGTCAACGAGACGGAATGAAAATATCATAAAAGTCCCAATAGTTTTACAAATTTATTCACATTAGGCTTGTCCATATATAATATTGGGAATTTGATAAAAAAGAAAAGTATGAGTTGGATTTTATCATGAATTTAGATGTTTGAATAATAATTTAAAAAATGAATGAAAGAAGATGATTAATTTCTAAATAGAAAGTTTCAGGTGATCTTTATGTAATTGCCCACCGTAGAGTTTAAGGTGTGGATTAGGAAAAAAATATTAAGTACTACGCACGTAGAAGTAACGTGTGTAGCCAATGAAATCACGCCACGACACCCCGCGCGACAGAAAAAAAAACTGCACAGTAACACGGGGAATATTCCCTCCGGCGTTATTGATGTGTTATTCATGTGTTATTGCGTGTTATTGATGTGTTATTGTTTTATTATAACACCAAGAATATTCTCATGATAAAATAACACATGAATAACACACAATAGCACATAAATAACACGGGAAATATTCCCGACAGAGAAAAAAACGGCGCAGTAACACGGGAAAATATTCTCCCCCGTATTATTCATGTGTTATTTTGTGTTATTCATGTGTTATTCATGTGTTATTGATGTGTTATTGTGTTATTGTGTAATTATAACACCAGGAATATTCCCAAGACACAATAACACATCAATAACGCGGGAGGGAATATTCCCCGTGATACTGCGCCGTTTTTTTTTTCTCTATCGCGCGGGTGTCGTGGCGGGATTTCATTGGCGGCTACGCATGTTACTCTACATGCATAGTACTGATGTAATATTTTTCCGTGGATTAGAAATACTTTGCCTTTGCCTTTAATTTATTGTTTTCATCTTACATTTTTCATTTGTACTTAATATTGTTATCATATTAAAATTAAAGATAATAATCAATGAAAAAGAATTACCTTAGCTTTAGTACCGTTTTGGTAATTAAACTCTTTACAATAAAAAAAAAAATTAAATAAACCAATGCGAAAACATTACGGCCTAATAGTTGCATAAAGTTTTCTCTTAGTTCATGTATTTGAAAACCACATTTCTACCGATTACTCATCTGCCCTAAAACAGGATTGTAGATGGGTGCTCGGTTCGTTCAATTTTTTTTTTATTTGAATTTAACTTGTCTTTAAAATTTTTGTTCTATTCGTGGCTACAACTGTAATATCATGACTACAACTGTAACATAATTTGCGTTAATATCATGACTACAACTGTAGTCCCACGTTTGGACGTGGCATGTCGCACTGCTATAGGTGCACTCGCACCCGTATTGTGCACTGCTCTCATGCATTGTTCGGCTTTCTCATAGGGTACCTACGCCGATAAAGGCGTCCCCGCACCCTTATAGCCCGTAGCCCGCACCCCCGACCACTAACTATACAATACTTTTAAAATTGAAATTCTCAAAAAAAAAAAAAAAAAAAATCCACAACAACTTCAACACAGATTTTGTCATGGACCTGCAACGTAGAAAAAAAAAGCAAGCAAACAAATAATAAGTTTCTGTATAGAACCAAATGTCAAATTCTCTAGCAAATATTACCGAGTACAACACATTATGCCAATTCTATAGCATATTTTGTCTTGTGGACTAAACAAATCTTAATTCAATACAAGGAAGATACTTTAACTTTAAAAGAAAAAGTATTAATAGAAAAAGAAAGGTAAGATGTCTTGTAAACTCCTATAAGCTAAGATTTGTCACATCAGTCTTCTCTGGTTGCAAAAGGATCCAAGCCGGTTGTCAATTGGACTGACACTTCATCAGGTGGGTGGTAAGCATAGATGTCAGACATATTGATTGTAGAAAATGTGGCTATGACACAAGCATTCTCATTAATTTGTGTCACAACAGAAGATCCAAGTTTTTTGGGACTTAATTTGGAATAGTCTCTAGTGCGAAGCTTGCTTTACGGAGACGCACCATAACGAGATCACCAAGTTCTAAATCCTTGCGCCTTCCATGAAGATTTGCTTTCTATTTATACTTACCGTTTGATTCCAACAGTTTGGAAAGTACATCTTTTAAAAGTCTTGCAGCATTAGTGGCCATTTCATCAACAGGAATGTTCTTGCACTTTAATAGAACTGCGAGATCAAGAGTATTAGAACACGCCATGACCACAATTCATGCGACGTCGCAGCCCGCACTTCTGGAATTTTTTTGCATAGCCACACCGAATTGCAGCTTAACCACATTGCTCAAACCGAGAGTTGGGCGTAATTACTTTGTTTGACAGGCGTGATCACACCAGCATATATTCTTCAATTGAGAATAAATTCATGTGCGGGATTCTGATGATTTGTGGAAGGAATTTGAACTCAATCTATAAAAAGAACATTATTGAAGAGTTTTAGAGAGATTTTTGGGAGCAAATTCACAAGGAGGCTAGGGTTAGAGGGAGTTCTTCTCCTCTGAGTTCTTCGTTGGTCTGTTTTTCTAAGAGAGGTTTTGAGAGAAGTTAATTGTTCTTGTTTGTAAGAGAGGACTACCAAAGGGTTGTATGTTTGTTTTTATGTTAATAAATGTCTTTTTTTCAGATTTGATTTCCATGAGTTTTTCTTTGATTTTCTCTCATACTATGAGCAGCCTAAATTAGCATTCACACCTCTGTGATTTTTTGCTTGATATTTGTTGTTGTTTTCTCATATACATTTTTTCTGCGCTTTTAATTGTTAAACATTGTTGGTTAACCTACTGGCCTTCGTTTACTTTTAAAACGGCTAGTTAGAGTGTCAAAAACTATAATGATCTACGATTTCGACAGAAGCATAGTGGAACGATTAAGTTAACCACAAGATCTAAATATAGCATAAATTTTTTATTATGGATCTTACAAAAAATAGCAGAGATTTGAAAATTATTGGGGATGTCATAAAGATAAGTGAAAGTTATCTTTGTGGAATTACAATTCTTCTTTTGACCTAGGCATAGGCTTAAGAAGAAAATATCATCCCTAGTTGGCAACAACCATGTAGGATAAATTGCACAAAAAGTAAAGTCAGATGCCCCACTTGAATCACAGAAACACGATCCTCATTAATCTTGAAGAAACAATAAAGAAATTTAATTCATGTTTTCCTTTGTCTTTATTTTTCGTTGACTCTGATAGATTTAATATTTCTTTTTACTGTTTTCTAAATCACACCAAACTAGGTTGGAATTGTTAATAAATTGTAGCTTCACAATTTTCAAATTTGTTTCTTAGCACACTTTCTCATGGGAACAATACGCGGTACTCTTGCAAACAGCTTATTACTTTGACACGTATACTTGTGTGAGGTGGCCGCCAGCTTGGAGATGATTTTGCTTCCATCAAATACTACAATAATAGAATTCATACCTCTTTTAGCTTGTGGTAAACCTAAAACAAAGTCACGTTGTAGGTGCGACAAAATAAACTTGGTAAAGGTAAATAAAATCCTATATTTTGAGATGCCCCTTTGTAAGTTTGACATATATGACACTTTTCAACATAGCGAGTAACGTCACGTCATATGTGTGGCAAAAAAAAACTTACATTGCAGACAAACTTAGATTACATGGCCTCTTAGATTGCTGGCATGCAGTTCTTTATTCATTTGCAAGAGTTGAGAACAAATCGGGATACAAAACTAGTTACCTTGAAAGAGATAGCTATGGAAAATGGAGTATCCTCTGCTCGATTTAGAAGAGTGACATTTACTTCATGGATCAAAAAAATATGCATTGTCGCTGTATAGTTCTTGCAAATATTTTGAACCTGCAATTTTTATTTGTAGGGTTGTAAGAAGTGCTAACTTTTGGCTTAGAGCATCAACAACCTTATTTTGTGAACCAGCATTGTGTTTAATCACAATACTAAGCTTTTGCAAGAATAAAACCCAATGAGTGTGCATCCTACTCACTTTTGAGAATTGAGACATTGTAAAGATTGATGGTCACTATATAAATAAAATCTCGATGTAGGAGATAATGATCCTATTGCTTTAAGGAATGAACCATTACATACAATTCTTGCTTATTGGCTGACCACTTTTATCTGGTAGGACTTAGTTTTCATTATGCAATGGGCCACCCTTCTTGAGGAAGAATAACTAAAATGCTATATGTCCACATGAAATGGTTTGTCGAAGTTTGGTAAAGCCAAAACTGAAGCAATTGTTAAAGCTATCTTAATAGTTTCAAAACTGTGTTATTGTTCACCTCCCCAATGAAATGTTTTGCTTTTCAAGAAATCAGTAATTGATGCTAGACTAGTACTAAAACCTTTAGTATATTGATTATAAAAAGTATCCAAACCATGAAAACCACGCTCCACCGATAGAAACGACGGCTTTGGCCAATTTTGAATGGCTAAGAACTTTCTAGAATCTATTTCCCCCTTTTGCTAAAATCACATAGCCCAATAAAGAACACTTGGTGAAGCAAATTCATACTTTGATGTATTGAGGTAAAGTTTCTATGACCAGAGAACCATAAAGATTGAATAGGTTGTTGCACGTGCACTTTGAAAGAGTTGTTATATATTATGGCTGTCAAAAAAGCTCGTTGTTCGTGAATAGTTCGTGTTCGGTTCGTCAATGAGTTCGTGTTTAATTCGTTCGATAAGTAAACGAGATGAACGTGAACAAATCTTTTTCATTCGGTTATTTAAACAATCCAAACACGAACAGTGATGCGTTCGTTCGTGTTTGAATCGTTATTGTTCGAAATATAAAATAATTTCAAATAGTTATATATAAAAAATTTGTGATATTTTAAAAAATTAAATTTTATAAATTGTAATATATAATAAATTAATAATAATAATGTATTGATATACTATATTAGTAATATACTAATATAGATATTAAATATTTATATAATATAAGTTATATAATTAATATAATATGTTATTTATATATATTAATATTAGGGATGTCAAACTGGCTCGTCGTTCCCGAACAGCTTGTGTTCGACTCGCTCTTTAAGAAACAA